TTGCTTAAGCCCAAGAATAGCTGCGAGCTGTGATGCCACAGCACTCTACCAAGGGCAACACAGTGGGACTCTGTCTCCAAAAAACAAAAAAAAATAGAGAGAAGGGATCTTGCTCTTGCTCAGGCTGGACTCAAACTCTTGAGTTCAAGGGATTTTCCTGCCTTGACCTCCCAATGTGGGAGGATTACAGGTGTGAGTCACAATACCCAGCCCTTTACCAGACTTTTAAATAGATTTTTCTGAACTGATGAATGGGGTGAAATGGTTTACTTTAAGCACTCTTGATACCATACTACAAATATGATTCCCCAAAATCTTATACCAATTGATAGTCCCTTCAGCAATACTTAAGTGATCCTTCCTCACTTTACCATTATCAGCTTGGGACATTACTATTCAAAATAAACGTTTCCGTAATGAGTAGGACCAAACCCAAGATGCCATGAAACGGCAGCGTTAATGTGCTTTTCTTTGATTGCTAAGGAAGATGCACATTGTGTTATGAATTGGTTAATAGCTGCTTTTCTTTATTTTGTCCCCTGAATTTTCCTTTGGTGTCTTTTGCTCATTTATATGTTAGGACTTTCTTTAGAGGGGCTCAGTGACCAGGAAAGTAGCTAAAAGAGAACCAGAAGACGAAGCAGCTGGCTGCCCGGGCTTCCATGGGCTGGGAGTGACTGGCAAGTGGGTGGAGAAGAAGGAGCAGCAGCCACTAAGCCAGTGGAAGCAGTATGCACCCACCTCGTCCATGAGTGGTGACAGGGCCCAAGAGATTGCAGGAGCCCAGGATCTTGCTCTGGCCTGAGCAACTCAGTACAGGACACAGAGACAGATGGTCTGGCTGACATTAAAGCACTGAATGCAGCCAACCCCTGGTGTGCAATCAGCCCCACTTCTGGGCCTCAGTTTCCTCGTGTGTACAGTGAGGGCCAGATAGAGACTCAGCACCTACCACTTCTGGATCCTAGAATTCCTGTCCTGTCAGGAAAGTAAAAGGGGCTCTCCTTCTGAGAAGGACAGTCATGGAAAGAACTAAAGGGGGGGGAGGCACTGTTGTGTCTCCCAGCTCCCAGGGCCTGGATCAGTGTGCCCCCCTTCTCAGCAGACCAAGGAGGCAGTGACCAGACAGCTGTGGGATTTCCTGGAAAACCATACTCCTCATGCGCACCACATTCTCCTTCCAGCAACTTCTTTTATAAAACAAATGCCCTGGGGAAGAACTGGCTTCTCTGGGAATGTGGCCTTGCCATGGTCAGCCATACCCACCCCCTACAAGAACACACACAGAGCCTCCTGGTCCACACAGCCTGGGGTCAGCAGTGTTCTCACACAGTCTGGGCTTTTGCCTAAAACATGTTTTTATAAATATGTATTCCACGGATATGGAATGAGCCCCTACTATGTGCCAACCACTGTTGTAGGCACTGGGGATGAGCAAGACAGAGAGAGACCCACAGACGCAAACAGATCATTCACAATGCACCCCCAAATACATGTGAAGCCAGTATGTGCCATAAGTACAGTGAATAGAGGGCAGCAGGGAGAGCATGGGTGCAGGGAGTGCCCGTGTGACTGGGTGCAGAACGTGAACACAGCGTCAAGGCCCCAGTACAGGGAGCACGGCAGGAGCACCACCTCAGGCAGAGGTCTGTGAACACCGACCCGAGCTGGGAACACGCCTGGATGTTTGAGGGATAAGACAAGCAGTGTGGCTGGGCACAGCCAGTGGGGGAAATGGCAGGTGCTGGTCACTAGAAGGTTGGCATTGTTTGGGACCTGAGCTGGATTCTGCAAGAGATCAGGAGCCAGCAAAGGGCCTTGAGCAGGGACCTCCCCCAGGGAAGGAGTGGCTACCCTGCGATCACTGGCTGACTTCTCTCATCCCTCCCTTCTGACGCAGTGGCCCCTTCCTCCAGGAAGCCAGCCCCAGCTCACTGTCTGGAGATGTTCCACATTCATCTCTGCAGTTGTTTGGTTAATATCTATCTTCCTCACTAGATTCTGAGATCCTTAGGGACAGGCACATATCTGCCTCTCGTTACCCTAAATCCCCAGCACTGTGAACAGAGTCTGGCACACAGTGGGTGTTCCATGAACATCAACATACGAGGTAAGTAAGTCCCCAGGGTCTCAGCCAATTTTCCACTCCCCCTAGGATTGCATCCTTTTTCTACTTCCTCCCTCCTGTGTCCTCCACACCTTGTATCTACCCTCTCCTAGAGCCCAGCATGACCATCTCCATCTACCGGAAGCGGCACACACACCGAGAAGGCTGTGATCCAGGGGACAGGGCATGTGTTGTCCTTCACTGCATCCCAGGGCACCTCCTTGCAGCAAGCAGTGCCACCTGACCTATGCCCAGCTCATCCTACCTCCACATCTGCTCAAAAACCCTGGCTAGGGCTACTGCACCCTGGAGACATATCAAAGATCAAGCCCCCTCCTTCGCTGAGTTGGGCAGTGCCACCCACAGACCTGCTGGCAGCAGGTGCTTAGAAAAGCTTGGTAGTTAAGAAATTCCTTTCACAACATAAAATGTATCATATTTGGGGGGGGGGGCGGCAATTGGCTATTTATGTTAAAGCCTTAAAACAGGCATGTCTCATGGCCCAGTGATTCATTTCTTAGATCTGATCCAATTTATAAAGAGTAGCCCCCAAATTAAGCTATGTGAATATTTGTCACACTGCACCACTTGTAAAAGCATATGGTTGAAAACAATCCAAACGTCTAATAGGGAGTAATCAGCTGAATTAGTTATAGCACATCTGTAGAATGGAATATTCTGCACCCAAAATAGTGGTAATAACAACAGCACTTACTAAACACTCTGTGCTGAGAGAGCTCACGCGAACAGGGGTCGGTTCTGTTTGTAAAGACACAAGGGCTTCTGCAGTAGCTTTCTGAAAACCAGAGACCAGCATGCTCTGGGAAGCACATTAAAGCTTTACATACATTGCCTCATTTAACTCCATCTATGCTGTGGATACCATTATCTTGTCCACCTCACAGATGAGGAAACCAATACCTAAAAGACTTAAGTCATCTGCCCAAAGCCACACAGCTAGTAAGCAGCTATGACTGTAGTCAACCACCTCCTAGCCATTACACAGCCTCAAATGATGCTATTATGGCAGATACAACAGAAGCAAGACTAGGCGCATGGAACAATGTTCTTTACATGCTGATAAGTACAACAAGCAGGTTATTAAACAGTACGCACTGCCTGATCCCATTTGCACACATGCATGCAAAGCAAAGAGAAAGGGATTTGGAAAGGCAACACCACCAGCATCTTGCTAGAGATCTCAGAATGGGTGGAATTGCTTGTGTTTCTTATGTTTCTTCCGGGTATGTTTTCTGATTTTTCTGAAACAAACACGTGCTTGTTCCGTATTAAGAAAAATTAATTTTGGATTTCAAAAAATTAACATAAATGGCCCAAAGCATTCCCTCCCTTGCGCTTTCCTTCTGCACAAGTGCACACGTCCCACCACCAGCCTCCATTTAGGTATAGGCTCAGGCACAGCTGCCCCTGGAGGCGTGAAAAGTGCCCCAAGTAGGGAGAAACAGCCACTCTGCCCCTCAGCAGACTATGCCCCACGACCTACCCCCAGGGCCCTCTGAGTACCTGCGCCCCCAGGGAGTTTCCAGGCTGACTGTACAGCTTGAGATGCTCTTATCCCCTACCTCTGGATCTCTCCGGGCAGCACTTCACCAAGAAATGAAGGGCCAAGGGCCAACAGGCCTGAAGGCCACCAGAGTGCCCCAGGAGCAGGAATGTCCTCAGTTCTATAGCCACATAGACAGGGGACCTTCCTGGCCTACTCAACTGCTTCCTGGCTCTGTAACCTCATGCAAGTTCTTTCTTCTCTGAGTCTGTTTCCATGCCTGTGAAACAAAGAAAAAAAAATACCACCTTGAAAGAAAAGTAGAAATGTTTAAGTATCAAAATAATACATAAAAATATACACATAATTCTGAAGTCAAACAGCTTAAAGGGAAAAAGATAAAGTATATATATGCATAATCCTGATGCCAGCAAGTAAGACTTTCTGGGCATTGTCTACAGGTCAGTCACTCTGTTAACCACTTTTTAATACATGATTTTCTATAGTTCTCACAGACACCCTGTGACAGGCACTGTGACTTTCTGCACCTTCCAGATGATAAAACGTAGGCTTAGAGTGGCAAAGTCACTTGCACTGGTAAGCAGTGGGGCAGGAACTTCTGCTGCCAGGGCTGGACCCACACCAGGACACCACTAAGCCTGGCACGATGTCTGGGACATAGGAGGAACTTCATCCAGATGGGTACCACTGGTACTGCTCCCTGGCCTCTGCCTGGCTTTGGAAAATAGTGGGACAATGAGGAGTCCCCCTGGTTTTCCTCAGCCCCTGGACACTCACACAGCCACTAGACCACAGGCTCACTTCAGGGAGCCTTCCTCTGGGAGTGACCCAAACTCCCCAAACACTCTCCTTGAGTCAGTTCCAGGGACCGCAGGCAATGTCTTTGCTGCTGTACAGTCTATGACAAACCCCTGTCCAGACCTGGCCAAGCACTCTGGCCACCAGGGCTGCTGGCCCAACAGAGACTGCCCACACCCTAGGGGTCAGGCCTGCTGGCGCTCACACTTGGCACCTGCCCCCAAACCCTTTCAAGGCCTTTTCTGAGATCTGGGCCCCGGGCCTGGGTCTCCCAGCCTCTCAAAACCATTGGCCTGTCTGGCTAGAGAAGGAACCACAGGAGTTGGAAAGCCTGTCCACCGTCGGGGCTCCCAAAAGCAAAGCCTGGCACTGGAAGGGCGTGCGCGCTGTAGTCTGGGTGAGCAAGTGTGTGAGCTCCAGAGGGTGTCGGATGTGAGTGTGTGAGTGTGTGACTGTGCGTGTGCACGCGAGGCTGCGATCGCGATCGCGGTCCGGTCCGTGGCGGACCGGCTGGGAAGGTCTCCTCCCCCCACCACATTGAGAAATCTCTGTGAGTCACCGAGCGGTTCTGCATATTAATGAGCGAGCTCGCTGCGAGGGCAGGAGCGGATTTAAAAGAGGCCAGGGCGGGCGGAGGAGGCTGTGGAGAGAGCGGGAGCCGAGCGCGGAGTGCAGCGCACGGCGACAGAAAGCCCCCGACACCCACCGACGGTGCAGCCCGAGAAAGCCAAGCCCAGCCGGGAGACGGTACAGCCCGAGAGAGCCGAGCCAGGAGGTGTCTCGGGCCGCCACACGGACGGGCCGGCGTCCTCCCCGCGTCCCTGCTCCCGCGCCGCGCCCCTCCGGCCAGCATGAGGCTCCTGGCGGCCGCGCTGCTCCTGCTGCTCCTGGCGCTGTGCGCCTCGCGCGTAGACGGTGAGTGCCGAGAGGGCCCCTTGTCGCCTCCCAGTCCTGTCCTGGAGAGCCCAAACACCAACTTCCAGGCATTCTGGGTCCCCGGAGGCTGTGGGTGGGTACCGAGGGCGACTGAGGCTCGGGAGACCCCTCCGCACAACTGAGCGGTTCGGCACGCTCTTCCGCAGGCTCCAAATGCAAGTGCTCTCGGAAGGGGCCCAAGATCCGCTACAGCGACGTGAAGAAGCTGGAAATGAAGCCAAAATACCCGCACTGCGAGGAGAAGATGGTTATGTGAGTTATCACTCCTCACGTTGAGCATTGGGCGTGCGCCGCCGCCGCTCTTAACCCGGGGCTGGGGCACAGCCTGGGGCCGGGGCGGGAAACAAACATTTCTCTCTGCCTTTGTCAAAGCCTTGGGAAGCCTTGGTCATTGCCCAGCGAGTCCTCTGGACGCTGGCGCTATACTCTGGAAGACAGGCTGGAAAAGGGGGTCCCTGTCCCTCACTCTGGAAACAGCCTCTGGAGCTCACCTGTGCTATGGAGTTGGACGGGTAGCCTCCCAGCTGCACTGTCGCAGCCCGCTTTGCTAGGGTTAAAGGCTCAGAGGCTAACTTAGAAGCCTAGATAGAAATCAGAGCCTCACACCCAACCTGAGGCCGCTACCCTCCTGTCCCTGGACAGAGGATTAACGCGGACATTATCTTAAATCCTGACTCTCGCTCCACAACCTTTCCCAGTCACAGAGCAGAGGACCACAGGGTTTTGTCTCCTAGAGACTCATTTTGGGAATGCTCAGCTCTTTCCCTACCAGCTGTACTCCTGTGGCTCCAGGATCCCCAGCAGTCTGGGGAGAGCGCTCTGCTGGGGTCAATGTGCCACATGGCTGGAGCCCTGTGTGGTGGGGATGGCGGATGCTTTAAAAACTGGGGCAGCGTGAGGGAACACTGAGTTTCCTCGCTCTTCTGCCTTCCCATTAACCACTTGAGGCCAACACCACTGTTTCCCCATCAATACACTCTTGGCCAGAAGGAAGCCCTTGGCAAAGCAACTACCAAATATTTGCCACGGACCATTGGGCCCTCTTCCCCTCCCCCAGAAACAGGATACACTTTATTCTCAGTCTGGGCAATTGCCTTCGACTGCCTGGCCCTCCTGGCCCTGCGGCCCAAAGGCCTTCACACAGTGTCTGAGGAAGCAGGGCTCACCCCCACTGGCTCCCGAATCCCCTGCCTAGGGACCGCACAGTCAGGCTGAAGTTAGGGGAATTTGAAAACCCACTGGCCCGAGCTGACCCCACTGCCTTCCTTCACAGGCACCTAAATTAACCTCCTTGTCCCTGCCCCTTGCCTTTCAGACCAAGTCCACAAAAGCAGCTGAAAATGTTTTGGGTGGGAGCCAGGGGTCAAATAAACTGGATGAGGAGCTAGAAGCCCTTCCAGGCGGGCGTGGGGAGGCTGAAAATGACAGGAGGCATTGCAAGTTAAAGTTCATTCCTCTAAGAGCTGAACCCCCCCCCCCATACCAAGCAAGTTTCTGAGATCTCTCAGGGGAAGAAAGCAGGGCATGGAGCGTAGTAATATCCCTAAAAGACAGAACTCTCAGTAAACAGGCTTGCTCTTTTCCTGGCTAAACTTTTCCAAATATAGAGGAAGTTCATGAGAAGGCTTTATGTTGCCTTGTGAACATAAGATCTCACACACAAGAGATCAGTACACAGTCACCCTCTCCTAAACCTCCAAACCCCACCCCATCCTTGAAGGGCTGAAAGCTCCTCTCCCCTCACAAGATCCTAAAACTCTCTAGATCAGACAAGGGGCCAGCACTTTTTGCCAAAGCAGATTTTCAGCCACAAAGTCTGAACAAAAGTGAGTTTTCCAGCTCATCCTGAGTCACCCAGAAATCCTTGCTAAAGTTAGGGGTGTGGGGATGGAGTGGAGCAGTGTGCTTTGGGAGTGGGAGTCCTTGCACCCAGAAGGATCCAGAAGAGTCCAGATCCTAGAAAGGGCAGTTTGCATCCCACATCCACTGAGCTCTCACTAAAACCCTCAGCACCCCAAGAACCTCTGAGGACAGGTCACAGGATTCAGAATTTCTGATATTGCTGGGGTCACAAATCCTCCTGTGTGCAGTCCAAAACTGATTTCCATAATCCCAGTCAGATGACGCAGCATCTGAACACTGTGGTGGGAGGGCCAGCTTCCCTCTCTGCTCTCCCTGACCTTCAGGATTTCGGATGCTCAGCCTGCACACTGGCTGACTGAGAAGGGGGTTTTCATTAGGCATCGCCTCGTCCTTTCCTTCAGAGCAAAAGCAGCCTCGTAGGCAGAGAGAAAAGCATTTGCTAAATTCCTGCAGGATGACTGTGTACAATGGCACACTCTGAAGCCTGGCCCATGCTCAAGACCCAGAGGGGTCTAGTGATGGCAGCACCAGTCACTCAGCATGAGCAGAAGGCCCATCCCAGCCCCCAGAGCACAGACAAGGGAATAGAACAGCTCACCTATAAAACAGTCTATCCCCATTCTGGTGGCAAGATCTGATGTTCTCTCTCCATCACTCCAGAGACTGAGATCACAGCAATTATGCCTCCTTCTAGAACTTGGCCCATGAGCCCTGACACTTTAAACTTGGTACCTGTGGGGAACTAACAGGCCTCTGCCTCTCCTCTGACACTTTCTACACTCAACCCCAACCTCCCCTCTTTGCCCCAAATGCCTAGTCCAATATCCAGTCTGACATAAGACCTTGTTTGACTGTGCCTCTCAAGAAGTGGCATCCTTACTTCACACTTTGCATTTTGCCAAGCACCCCAGAAACACCATCCTTCCTCCCTCATCCAGAAGGTTCCCCCTAACTCCTACCATCCCTGTAACCCAGCTCTGGCTGCAAGGCAGCAGGCTTGCCTCCCTTACCAGACCAGGGCACACACACTAAGGCTACTCTATCTCCTTGGCCATCTCACCTTCCAGGACTAATTCCTAATAACAGTAACTATCATGGTGTTTCTGCCAGGTTCTCAGATTACATACTTTTGATCATCCCAATAGCCCTATGACATGGAACCTGTTATTGTATCCATTTTACAGATGGGCAAACTGGATTCAGAAAGGTTATCCAAGGTCCCATAGCCAAACTAGGGATTCAAACCCAGGCTCCTGTACCCTGTAAGGTGCTATCCTGCTTCTCTTCCATATGACTAGGCTTCCTGTAGATGTCAGAATATTGTCCTGAGATTTCAGGCTGTAGAGAAAAGAGGTCTTATTTGTCTGCCTGAGGGTGAGATAACTGGGACCTGACACTCACGAGTGAAAATGAGCTTCATGGCCCAATAAGACTTCGCTTCAGAATCCAGAAATGGCTAGCCCTGGGCAACCTGCAGAGGGTTAGGGGAACTGGAGTTGAGGAGACATCTGTAGGGCATGTCTGAGCCTATCATGGAGCTCCTCAAATCCAAAGACAGAGGTCCGGACCCCTGCACCTTGCTGGCATTGGCTCTCTTCACCACTCGATGCCAGATTTCGAGTCTAAGGAGAAAGGTGAGCACTGCTCACTCCATATAGGGTTAGACCCTAATGTAGAGTCAGAGAATACAGGGACACCCAGAACCTTCCAAAGAGCCAGCCAGGGAGTGAGCACATAGGTAGGCTCCCTTGAGAGGAGGAAAGAGGCCACAGTCTCTCAGTGCCCCAATTCAGCCTGGGGCCACCTACGGGGCTACTATTCAAGCTCCTCAATCTGTCCCACTCCATTTCAGCATCACCACCAAGAGTGTGTCCAGGTACCGAGGTCAGGAGCACTGCCTACACCCCAAGCTGCAGAGCACCAAGCGGTTCATCAAGTGGTACAATGCCTGGAACGAGAAGCGCAGGTACACCCGTCCTTCCACCCTCCTCCCACCTCCCCAGACCCAGCTGTGCTTCCAGGATGGGGGGAGAACCCTCAGCCAAATCAGGTCATCTAACCTCAGGTACACCCCAATCCTCCACCCTCCACCCACCTCCCCCAAGCCCAGCTGTGCTCCCAGGATGGGAGGGGACTCTCAGCCAAATCAGGTCATCTAACCCCAGGTACACCCCGCCTCTTCCACCCTCCTCCCACCTTCCCCCAGACCCAGCTGTGCTCCCAGGTCAGGAGGGGACCCTCAGCCAAATCAGGTCATCTAACCCCATCTAATAGGTGAAAACATACCACAATATCTACAACCAGCAGTTGCCCAGACACTGCTTACATACCCCCAGGGCCAAGGAACTCAGCGCTTTACAAAGCAGACTCTCCTGTACAGTCGGAAACATTGGAGGCTTATCCTCTTGTGAACTGAAGTCTATCTCACTCTAACATTGACGTTATAGTCTTAATTCCTCTTTTTATTTAAATCACTTAAGCTGTCAAAGGGCTAGGTAAGTCCCTGGTGTGGCTATCTCATGTGGTTCTTATGGGATGAGATGTGACCGCTTAAGCAACCATACATGTTAACTATAAAACTGTGGGCACACCCACGAGCTGATGCCGATGACTCCTTGCCAACCACTTATCTCCCCTCCAAGGTGCCTCACACCCTTTGCTTTCCAGAAACCTGATAAACTCCTTCCTTCACAGGTATTGGGAGGGACCTTGGGTCTGACCTTTTAAAATGGAAGCCATTCTTGACCAAGGGGGGCAGTAGTGGTGAGATGACCAGTGCCCTGGATCAGACCCCTGTGCTAACTGGGCTCTGGTTTCCCATAATTTTTTTTTTTTTTTTTTTTGAGACAGAGTCTCCTTTGGTCATCTCGGTAGAGTACCATGGCATCTTAGCTCACAGCAACCTCAAATTCTTGGGTTCAAATAATTTTCTTGCCTCAGCCTCCCAGATAGCTGGGACTATAGGCACCTGCCATGGCACCTGATTATTTTTTAGAGACAAAGGAGGATGCTATTGATCAGATTGGTCTTGAACTTGTGAGCTCAGGCAACCACCCACCTCTGTCTCCCAAGTACTGAGATTACAGCCATGAGCCACCAAGCCCAGCCTGTTTTCCCATAATTAGAAGGTGGCTTCCCAGCTGTAATCCCTGAGGTTCCTGTGTCTGGCCTCAGATGGAGAGGCCACTTCCTGGCTTCGCTGTATCATGTGAAGGTGAGCCTACCTGGTGCAGGCCCATCCTTGAACACTCAGGGCCAGTTTATACTTTCACCTGTGTGGCATGACCAGCAGGTAACCTCCCCAGGAACAGGTATCAAGGAACTGTTTAAAGTCCTCTTTGCAGCGAGAAAGAGTACTGGGCCCAGGGTAGAGGAAGGAGAAGTGTACATAGTGGGCCTAGACCCATAGGGTCAGATGAGGGAGCTCCACCCTGCAGAAGAGAACCAAGGCTAAATGGGAGTGGCGAGTGACTTGCCTGGGAACACAGGGCAAAGCCAGGGCAGGAAAGTGACCTCCCGGCACCAACCCCCTCTCTGCAGTGCCAAAAGCACAGCCCAGTGGGTGCCTGCAGTGCCCTCCCCAGTACCCCGCCCAGCCCTCCTGTAGCCAGTACCCAGCCTCCTGCTCTGTACCTGAGCCTTTTCTGCTGCCTCCAAAACTGCCTCGTCTGCAGTTGCTTGAAATAGAAAGTGATGAGAGTGAGAGATTATTTTCTATAAATCTGATGGGAATGAACCCTCTTTCTGGTCAGGCCAGGCAGCTCACATGGCAAAAACAGAGCCTGCCTGCTCCACCTACTGTCTGTCACCCTCCAAGCCCTATGTCATCAAAAGTGGAACAAGGCTGACCCCAGGCCAGCTCATGGAGGAGACGGAGGCCCCCTTGATCTGACTGTGGGGAGATGCTCAAACCTTTGCCCACCTTGCTCCCCACCTCCACCTGGACTGTAGCTTGGAAGAAGAGGCACCTTGGGTCTAACCATGGCCTCGCTCTTTTCTATTTCTACAAATTCCAACAGTGAAAGCATCGCGCCTCTCAGGTGCCAGGCCTTCCCCCACTTCCTCAGTTCCCCCCCTTCCTTGGAGTGCTGAGGTGTCCTGAGGAAGGAAGGAGACATACCCTTGTCCCCTCCTCTCTCCCTGGTATAAGCTTGAAAATGTCTTTGAATGTAAAATGGAGATAAAGGAACTGTTTGAAGTCCTCTTCACAGAGGAAGAGAATACTGACCCTGGGTGGAGGAGGGAGAAATGTACACGGCAGGCCCACACCTGTGGGTACAAGGGAGCCCCAGCCACCTCAGAGACCACAGCTTCCGGCGACCACAGGAAGCTATGACATCAAGCATTTTATTTCAGCTCATAATTAGGTGGTCTTGCTCAGAAATCAGGAATAAGGAAGAGAGTGATGGGCTCAGTGTGACGTGTGGCCTGGGAGTGGCCAAGGGGCAGAAACCCAAGGAAGTAAAATGCCTAAATGGAGACAGCGTGAGCAGGGAGGGGAGGGCGGGCATGTCAAGGCCAGTAGGCTGAGGGCCAGCCCCACTGACCACCACCTCTGTCTGCAGGTGGCAGATTCTAGAACTGCCATTTTTGGAGGACATGCATTCTTTGGGCAAAATACCAAGATACAAGCCTCAGTCACAGGGGAGAACGCTTCCCCAGGCCCGCTATTTTCTGTAGGAAGATGCGGGAGCAGGCCACCACGGCAGGGAAAGACTTCTCGGTCCCTCCACCAACGCCCATGGTCATTGGGTACATCCTGAGTCTGTGGTGCCTCCGTTTCTTTGTGTGCAAAGAGGGCTTTCTCCATAGGGCTTTGAGAGTAAAATGAGATTGCAGAATGAAAAATGGCCAGAAAGGACAAAGGCAAGCCTGTGTGGGCATTTGAGGTCCCTGTGCTCATGTCCTCAGAGAAGTCCCTGCCCCTTCCCCCAGCCTCCTGCGTCCTGGGAGAGGGGCTCTCCCTGCACATGAGGGTGAAGCCCTCCCACCAGCTGCTTGTGAATTAGCTGCCACATGTCCTGAGCCACTCACACGTGTGTTTTCTCTTCCCAGGGTCTACGAAGAATAGGGTGAAAAATCTCTGATAGGAAACCTCCAGACCAGTTGGGAGACTTGAGCAAAGGACACTGCAGATTTAAAAAAGAAAAAAAAAACCTTCCTTTCTCACAGGCATAAGACACAAATTATATATTGTTATGAAGCACTTTTTATCAAGGGTCAGTTTTTACATTTTATAGCTGTGTGCGAAAGGCTTCCAGATGTGAGACCATCCCTCTTGTGCTCCAGACTTTATCACAGGCTGCTTTGTACCAAAAGGGGAGGAAACTCTTGCCTTTCCTTTTTAAAAAAAAAAAAAAAATGCTTTTTTGTATTTGTCCATACGTCACTATCCATCTGAGCTTTATAAGCGCCTGGGAGGAACAGCGAGCTTGGTGGAGGCATTTCATTGCAGGACTGCTCTGTTCCTAGCTCGGAAAGCTTCCGCTCACAGGTCCTGGCGCCTCGGCACAGCTGCCACAGGCTCTCCTGGGCTTGTGGGACAGTCACAGCCTCAGTGTGACTCCGCAGTGGCCCCTGCAGCCGGGCAAGCAGGAGCCAGTCTCTTTGCATCTGTTATTTGAGGAACTCAAGTTTGGTTGCCAGAAAAATGTGCTTCATTCCCCCCTGGTTAATTTTTACACACTCTAGGAAACATTTCCAAGATCCTGTGATGGCGAGGCAAATGATCCTTAAAGAAGGTGTGGGGTCTTTTCTCCAATCTGAGGGTTTCTGAAAGGTTCACTGCTTCAATATTGAATGTTTCGGAAGCATGTGAGGTTCCCAACACGGAGCAAAAACCTTAGGAGAAAACTTAAAAATATATGAATACATGCGCAGTCCATAGCAACAGCCGCGCCTTCTGTTGACAAGGGAAACCTTCAAAGCATGTTTCTTTCCCTCACCGCAATGGGACATGCAGTATCAAGCAATATACTTGTGACTCCCCCCTAAGTCTTCCATGTTAAAACTGTGCAGTCCCCTCCTGAAAGCTCAGATGGCCGCGCGCCCTTTCCTGTGTACACACACTCCCGAGAACGCCCTCCACACGCTGCCCTTCCGCGTTCGCTGCGTGTGCCGCTGTGTCACATGCTATGTACATGTCAGAAACCATTAGCATTGCATGCAGGTTTCATATTCTTTCTAAGACAAAGAGAAAAGTAATAAAATATATTTGAAATGTACCAAAATTCTAGGCTACTGACTTTTTCCTATTTAATTAAACTAAGATGACAATCAAATGTTCGTTACATCCTGAATAAACAGGGGACAAATGTATCGGGGAAGAAAAGTGGTGTGTTTCCTACGTACTGGTTACCACTGTCACCCTCGGTGGAACGTGTGGAGCTGTCATTACATCCCGAAGACAGGAAGCCAGGCTGAGGCACCTGTCCTACCTGACTCCCACACCTGCTGCAGGTTGACGGGAATGAGCAGGTTGCTGCGGTCCCCATGTAGAAAGGCAGCAGATGAGCCAGGCACGGTGCAGTGCAGGCCAGCGCTCCAAGATGGCTGGGCAGGGGGTCAGGGAAGACGAGAAGTGCCCAGCTGGGGGCTGCAGGGCCCTGGAGCCATGCTACCTGGGAGCCACACCTGGAAGATGCAGAGGCTCTGTTTCTGTTTCTGTCAAATGGACATGACAACAGTGCACACCTCAGCACTCTGGGGACCTAGCAAGACAATCCATGTAAAGCACCAAGAAGGACACCAGGGCACAGGGAGCACTCGCTACATGGGAGCCATTCTCACATTCACAAGACTAGGCCACTGTGCACGTCACACAAACTACCCACCATCCTGCATCTTACCATATCCTAAGCCAGCCAGGCCCCGAAACAGGCCTCTCTGTCCCTGCTCTGGGTCCCTCACACCCAGCAGCACTGTTCAAGGGGACACGCCTCTATCCTGTCTGCTACCTCCTAGCAGCTGGGAGCCACTTACTCCCTGCACCTCCTCAGACAGTATCCTGACGGGTTGGCACTGCCCACACCCTCCAGGACGCACAGCGTGCACTCTATCCTGGCATGTCCCTCGCAGGAGGCCACTGCAAACCCTCCCTCATCATGGTCCTATTTCTTCTTGGTGAAACTGAGGACCAGAGAGCTTAAGAGAGTTGCTCAAGGTCACCATTCCTCACACTCTCCAGTAGCCGGATAGCTGGGTTGGAGGAGGGGGCAGACTGAAGCCACGCTGGGCTGGAGACTGGAAAAGTGGGGGATCCATCTTGCCATTCCCTTCTTTGTTATAGAGGAAGAAGGCAGTCTGGACAGGGAGCCCCAGGGACATCAGAATAGAGTAGGAGAGTCTCCAGGGAGAGGGCACATGTCAGGGCAGGGGACAGCAGTGGCCAAGCCCCACTCCTGGGACCCTGAACCTCCCTGGCCCCAAAGCAGCACCACTGTGGGCTCAGAAGGGAAGGACCAGTGTAAAGAAGATGGCTAAAAGAGCCCCTGCTGCCAGTGGGGCACAGGATGTCCTGTGCTGTGAGAGTTTCAGCTCCCTGCACACCTTCCACTTGCCCTAAACACACTACAGTCTTCTTGTCCTTGTCCGAGAGGAGGCACCCTCGGGCTCTCCTCTGCCTGCCTATGGCTCTAGTGCCAGCCCACCCTCCTCCAGTTCTGCTGGACCGTATAGTCCCTCTCTTCCCTGACCTCCCATGTCACAGACTGGATTATTAATAACTGTGACAACTGTGCCAGGCCCCAGGGAAGAATCCCCTTTTCTGAGATTGCAGAGCCATTTCCCATTTTTTCCTCTTCTGGGCTTCCCAGTAGCCCTATGAAGTGTCCACCTGCCACATTTCAGAAAGAACAGTGATTGTAGGGCGCAAATTGAGGCCAGGTGGCCTTTCTAAGTGAGACCTATAGTTGTAGCTCTCGAGGGCTGCCCAGGGTTGGCACGAGCTTACTCCTCTGCACACAGGGGAGACCAAGCCCACCCGCAGGCTGGGCCCCACCTCCATCCAGAACCACCAGTCCTCACAGGCAGGCCTGCATTAGATCCCAATGCCACTGCCCTCAACTTCCCACAGGTACGTCCTGGGCAGGCCTCGTGCTGCAGAGGGCCTGCCACCAAACGTCCATGACCTCAGAGCGCTCCAGCCTGGCCTAGCCGCTCATCTCCTCCACCTCCCCAGGGCCCCTCCACATGGAGCTTCTCCTGGTCACCCCCAACCTTGCTTCAGGACTGGCTGCATAGTTTGTGGGGACTGAAACAAAAAATAGTTTTGGGGCTCCCTGTTCAAAAATTTTTAAGAATTACAAGATGTCTCCTATTGTGTGATAGGTAAAAAAAAAAAGAAAAGAAAAGAAAATGAATCGTAAGATGGCAATAGCAGACCCCAAGATTGCATTAATATACACAGCTATGATTTAATAATAAAAAAAAAAACCAAGCATGGTGTGGTGCCCTCTCCAGACACACCCTGCATTACTCACATGTGGCAAGTCCATGAAGGCAGCCCTACCTCCAGCTCAGCTCCAGTACTCATCTGGATGACGCCCCTTACCCTCAATCATTACAGAACTTGCACTACAGTTTAACAGTTTTAAGTTGGATTTTAACTTGAACATCTAACCGGATATGTTCTTAGAAGCCAGGGACTGTGTCTTACACTTCTCAGTAAAAACCTCTCAGAATCTATGATAGTATTTATAAAGTTCCTCAAAGGTAATCAATTAGTTAACTAATCAGTTAGTACAGTATTAGGATCTTAGGGAACCCCTGGGAGCATGCTTTCTTCACTCATTTCGTAGCCACCACTGTGTGCAAAGCTCTGCTGAGCACCACCAGGCATAGAGGTTTGGTCAGGTGTGGCCCCATCTCCTCAAGAGCAGAGTCCAATCAGTCGTTCAACCACCCACCGTGTCACTATTAACCACTGACCGTGGGCCACACATCACACACTGCACTGGAAGCTGGAGATGGCGCCTCCAGAAACGCAGTCTACAAGGGAAGCAAAGAAGCTGCCTGAAATTGTGTGTTGGTCTAATCTCTGGAGAGACACACAGCAGGCTCTTGGGACACTCCAAGGGGCACCTTACCCAGGCTCAGGGGAAGAGTCTTCTGATCAAGACCTCTGTCCATCCTGGGAGGGTTCAAGGCACATTGCAAGTTGCTTCAGTCAACGCAAAACAGCACTGATTCCACCCTGGCTCTGTCACGGCCAGTGGCCCTTTGTGTGACCATGCACTATGAGACACCCCATACAAGGCAGAGCCACGGGTAGAGAAGTGGGAACACCAGCCATGCCCCAGGTAGACGTCCAGGGAGACCAGCCCCAGCCCCAGCCTCCACTGCCATCTCCTCTGCCTCTTTTTCCCTCCTCCGTCACCACCACCTGCCTGTCCCACCAGAAACTGGGGCTGGGGTCTCACCAGCCTCATGGGCAAGGAGGTCTACACAGCCTCTCCTGTTCAACTTCTCACTCAAGGAAGACACTGAGGGGCCTTTAGAGCACACCTCACGGCATGTTTTCCACTCCTTCTGTTTTTGAAAAGTTAAATGGATAGCCTTGGAGGACACCAAGAAAACCCTAAGCTTTTTTTCTTGCTTTCAAGGTACCCTCTACCAACTTTCTCTCTATTATACTGCGCTGAGCCTCGCCACCAGGGGGCGGCAAAGAGCCCATGCACCTCGGTCAGTGGCTCTCCAAGGTCCCAGGAAGGGCAGGAGATCAGTGACAGCAGTGACTAGATATTGCCAGCCAGGCCTTGCACTGGGAGCCTTATCTTGTTGAATCCTGGTAACCGCCACAGCAGGGGGTTTCTGTCACAGCTCCATTTTACAGATGAGAAACTGAAGCTCAGAGAGGCAAATACAATATCCATATTCACACAGCTAGCAGGTGGTAGAGAGACAGGGTTCAAAACCAGGTGTATCTGGCTCCCAGCAGGTTTTTTGCTCCCTGAAGTAGGCATTGTCTTACAGCTCCCATCCACCCCAGCCCCCAGGACACCCCACTGTGCTTTCAAGCTGGAGCTGCCAGGGCCTAACTCTGGGCTTACCTCCAGTTCACTGAGACAAGATCAATCCTCCAGTTTGGTGCGCCACACAGACAGTCAGCCTTGGTTTCTTGTGCTGGTGTCCTGCTTTCATTTTAAAGGCAGAGAAAGACTGTAGAAATCTCATGCAACTCCAGGTTTCCTCCTGGATCCCAGACAGGGAGCCCTGGAACTGGGAAGCAGTTCACACCCAGCAGACACAAATTCTGCTTGAGTAGAAGCAGCCAGAAAGCTGTCCACCTAGCACCAAATAAACCAAATAAGCAAAGTGACTATGATGTCACCAAATTCAACTCAACGTTTTCATTAGAAACAAGTTGAAAACATCAAGCTGTTAGGTAAAAAATTAATTCAAATTAGATTTAAAATAATCCACTTTTCACAATGAGGACAGAATTGATATTCCAGGATGAGTGTGAGGCATGTCTAATTAGATGCAGATGAGACTCATCTAATATTCAAAGTTATTCCCCAGGGCAAATGGGAAGGTGAAGCAACAGGCCTAGAACAAGAATCATTTCTAAATTACAAAAGCTTTTCCCCTGAAATAGAGGCCTGCAAAGGCAGGCTGAATTATGCATTAGCCCTGGTACAGCCAAAAAAGTGTTATAAGCCAAGAAAATGATGAGCAAAAGCATATCCTTCAGTTCCTTTACAGCTGCTGAGATACCAACCCTATGATTTCACATATTTTGAGGGAATCAAAGTTTAACAAATTAACTGCCATGTGAGTTGTATTTAATTCATGCTAATTTTGAGCCCAGGGCCTCCGGAAGCATACGTAACTCACATGTCTCTGACCAAATAAAAGGTGGACCCAGAAAAAATAAACACAATAGCAACAACCACAACTTTCTCAACAAACTCCACTATTAGTCCCATTTTACTGATGAAGAATTTAAGGCTTACAGATGCTAAGTGACTCATCTGAGGTCACCCAGTAGCCAAGTGGCCATGGGCAGTGTTAACCTCTTTGATTGGACATGCCTAGGCAAGATGACCACATATCCTGGTTTGCTTGGGACAGTCCCAGTTTATGATAGCTGTTCCAGTGTAATCATGAGGAGTGTTCCCTTTCACTTTGAAAAGAGCCCTAGTAGGGTCGGTATGTTATATGGTCACCCCACTTACAGGGCCTAACAGAAAGTACACAGGGTGTGAGATTGTGCAATGTCTAGGGAATG